GCCCCGTCGACTTCACGGCCACTCTCTCTCTCTCTCTCTGGGTATGATGGGAATGAATCTTCCTGCTTGGGCGGGAAGATTGGTTCCCGTTTTGCACTTTAAAAACCATGCACGTTTCGAAAGTGCAAAACGGGAATGAATCTTCCCGCGCGCGCGCGAGAGAGAGAGAGAGAGAAAGAGAGAGAGAGAGAGAGAGAGAGAGAGAGAGAGAGAGAGAGAGAGAGAGAGTGGCGGCAAACTGGCTGGGGCCCACACAGATCCATTTTCTTTCGTTGTTTTTCTACTTTTTATTGTTGTTGTTTTTTTTCCTTTTCCTCACAGAAGGCATTTCAAAGTGTCATCCCGCAGAAGGTGGCACCCAGCCTTATAGCAACGACCGGGCCTTCCCTTGGCCGACCCCCTAAGGCCACGGCGCTTTAACAGGGAAGGCCCGCAGCCCATGTATGGGCCAAGTACTGGTGGTTTAAGGGTACAGGAAGCTGCCCAGTACGGATCCTGGCTTATCACAAGTGCCTCCTGTTTTTCTGTTTGAAACATTAGCAAGGGGTCTATAATTGGAGGTGGTACCCTTATCTGTATCTGCATGGTTAACATAAAGTGGTTGGGAAGCTCCGTGTTATACGTTTGTTGGATGCTGGACCCGATTTCCAGCTTACATCCAAGCCTCTTTTTGACGAGGTGGAATCCCCCTGTATGCCAACCTTTGCCACAACACCAGCGCAGTGTTCTTCCTTTGGGGTTACCATGCCGCAGACACGTTTTCAGTTCTAAATCCACTTCAGGCATCCCTTGAACACAAAACATCCCCACGCAACCCTAAAGCTGGGTTGGATACACTCACGATTTTCCTCGCTTTGGAAAAAAAACTTTACGAAACCGTGACTGAAATTCATTTAAAACTGAAAACCTTGACTGCGCCCCAGTTCTCCCATTTCCTAGGGGTAATATTGGCTGGCGCCACCACCCATTTTGGTCCAGTAGCACGGAGCTTCCAAAATTTTCTGTCTGGCACGATATCGATTCTCAAATTCGCCTGGGTGATGTACTGGCAGTTTAAACCACAATGGCAGTTTAAGCCACCAGTACTTCTGAGAAGGTTGGCCGTTAACGAGCTACCCATCGCCACGATGTCACAACATTTTCACTTGAATGAATTTATTTCGGTGCTGCAGGCCTGTCCATCCCAATGCGCCGGCGCACAAGAGCCGTGAGTGTTGGAAGTACTGGTTGTTTAAGAACAGAACAAAAAAGGGGAAGTCCTGTAGCCAGGGAGTATATCTTTTTCTGAAGAAAAGTAACTGATGCTTCTCAGGACCAAGAATCTCCCTCAGGCATTAATGTGTTCAAGATTCTAATGTGTTTTCTGTGGTATTGTGACTGGCCCGGGATTCGAGCACGTGCTGCTCCCCACGAACAAATTAGAACCATTGATGACTGTGGTGCCTAAATCTTGGGCATGATTTTACCACCATGTGTATTGATGATCTCCAAGACCCCCCTCTCTCTAACCTAACCCCCTCCTGCTCCCCTCTAAGCAAAAAGAAAAACACAAAAACAATTCAAATTGGAGTCGGCGAGGCAGGAGTCAAAACGAAGACAGGAGGGGAGGATGCAAGATGGATGGTTGGCCTGAGGGTGCAGTATGAAGGCAGATGAGTACCAGAGAATGGGTTGGCTGGCAGGTATAAGGAGAAAGGAATATGCCTCCCCCATTGCCAGAGGTCACCTAGGGGAAGGTGGTTGCTGCATGGCTCAGGGAATTGGCCCCTATCCATAATAATGGAAATGGGGGCTGGTGGCATGGACTTTTGTGCCCTGCCCTTTTTTTTTTTTTTTTTTTTTTTTCCAGAAACTTCATATGTGGAGAACCTACTTAACGAGGAGATAGGAGCATCCCCGGTAAGTAGGCCTCAGCATCGAAGGCTCCATCTATTGGTGGGGAGCTGCACCTGCTGGAAATCGGGTCCAGCGTCCCTGTACAATGAAGAAAATGTATCTTGCTGAAATTCAAGTCCAGCATCCAGGTGTATCGCAATGAATGTCTATACTGGAAAAATGGGTCCAGCCTCCCTCGTCATCTAATCTCCAGAACCATTCAAAACAAACTAAATCTCAGTCCAATCAGGCCACGTGCCCATCGTAGATGCAGAGGCATTGATTACTCCCCCATACCAGAGGAGGATTAACCCGCTGCAATTATATCCTACTGTCTTAAATCAGAAATATGAAGAAAGCACATAAGTAGGCCCCGGGATCGTTGTAGATGCATTAACCTACTATCTACGACGCATAGAGCCGACTATATCGAGAAGCACATATCAAGAAACACAAATGGAAACAGATAGCATGAGGAGGCCCGGCCAGGTGTCAGGTCTCAGTAGTCAAACAAATGACATGTCCAAAGCAGTAGGAGTAAGCCCGCCGGGCATTGTAACGCAAGTCACCGACAATCAACAACGGAGATACGTAAAAAAATTAAAATAAAAGAAGCAGCAAACAGAACGCAGAAAACTGCCACCCAGACGACCTGTCACCCCTAATCAGCCCCACCCCAATCAACCAACCAATCCCCGTACGCGGCCAACCAAGCAACATCCCTACAAGGACGGGTGTCGCCCGTGCCAGCCTGGCAGCCTCCGCGCCCTCCACTGGCGAGTCGATGCCGGTGTGAGAAGTGGTGGAAGTAAAGTAGTGGTAGTTATAGCAAGTGCAGTTGGTGGAGATGCTGCCGACGTTCGTGATGTAGCAGTAGTGATTATCGATGAAGTCGTTGTTATTGGACCGATTGTTAAAGCTGAACATGTCGGTGGCATTCATGATGGGAAAGGAGGTACAAGCCGCCAGCACAGTCCGATCAGTCGCCGCAAACGTTACAGGCGAAGCACCATCCAGCATGAGCGGCCGCCCTGCGTCCATCTCACAAGACCGATGGGCCTTGCAAACTACCAGGTCGGCCTCCACCTGGCGCCAATCCAGAGAAGAATGAAGCCCAGAAACTAACATCTCCTCCAACTCCTCTATCTCCCAAATGATGTCCAACAAAATTTGTGAACGGGAAGCGACCCATGCAGACAAGGAGAGCCCACCCCCTTCCAACGCTGCCTGCTCCTGTGAGCGCTGAATCAGCTCACCCACCGTCGCCTGCAGCTGCTGATGAGCCGCCCCCAAGACGTCAACCCAGTCCGCCGCATCTTGTTGAAGAGTCCCCGCCAATCGTAGTAGCAGGCTAGACATGTTGGTGTGCTATACCCGCCTGCGGGGCTCATTTTATGGCCTGAAGTGGCTGGAAGTCCCAGTCTATGAATTTGATGTTTTTTTTTTTTTCAGGTGATGGGAGTCTGTTAAGACCCCCCATTTTCAGTTGAAATCTGGCAGTCAATCTTCCCAGGTTGGGAGTAATTGAGTGTCTGGGGTGTTCAGTGGGCCCGGTTTTCAGCAGGCGCTGCCCCCTGCCAATGGACTTGGGCATCATGAAAAGTTAAGGAGCCTTCCCCCCAAAGAAAACACTGTTAGAAGAGACTCGAGAGAACTAGGCAAAGCTCAGTCACTGTGAGGACCAGAGCGTGAGGGCATTATAGGACGGGCTTCCTCCCCATTACAGGCAACCCTCCCCCTGACCAGATTGCAGTGGTCCTCGTCATCGTACAGCTGCCTTCTCATTATATGCATGTCGCTCGCCCATCTTCCCTTCCCCCAACAAATGACCGGATTTGCCATCCAATCACCCCATTCCTAGTCGATATCGCCCCATGCTTCTTCATCACTCCTGCCCACCCCCTACCTCTTAATTGTCCATAGGACAAGATCACCCCCATCTGTCCACACGGGTCCTGCCTCATCCATAATTCCTGCATAATTCTTATTGGTCACCTCATCTCCCTTCCCTTCAGTTTTCTTCTAGAGCATTGTCATCAGTCCCATCCATAACTGATTACTACTCAGTTAAACCAACCACCAGTACTTGGCCCAGCTATCGGCGGCGGAAAAAAAGTAGAGTAGAAACGGTTCTAGTTGGATGAATTTGGGCACTCCTGTAGTGGCCCGTTCGTTGCCTAAAATCATGGCTTGTTAACGGGAACGGCTTTCCGAAGTACTGGTCGTTTACACCCCACAGGACGAGAAGTCAAAAGTTTTTTTTTTTTTTTTTTTTTAAACCACACGTACAATTATATTGCAAAATATCCAAATTAGGGCCGGGGTCCCCACAATTCAACCCAAGTGACCTCTGGCGGCATCAGCCAGTTTCGCTTATTGGCTCAGAAAAGAAGGGGAAGAATCTTCACACTCTTGCCACTCATCCTACTACTCCAACTTCTACCCCCTACTAAGAAGACGAGAAGCCAATGTCAAGCGCCGCCGTTTCATTAAAAAAGACAAAAAGGGGAAAAACGAAGTGCAACCACCAAGCCTTACTCTGGAACATTTTACGAACCCAGTCGAAAAAATGAGCCCCTATATAAATTACATGGGCCCACTCAAAAACATTTAATGTGCTCAATGAGAATTCTCCATTGACTGCTACTCGCCGTGAGCGGCACCACTGTGAGCATTATAGACCTGAACTTCAGGACTCCGTTGCTTACTTCCCATCACACAAGTTCGACGTGTGTCCTCTTATCCCTGCCCAGTCCCCCTTCCATAAAACCACCACTACTTCAGCAAAGTGGGCCGACCTCTCAGGAACGTTCGGGCGTGCCTTTTTTTCCCCAGTTAAACCACATGTTCTTTTCCAAGCCATTTTTCTGCCGCACGGCAGTGCTCGCGCCACATCTGGCAGGATGTCCTGGCCTGCCGTTTCGAAAGCGCCAAATTCGCTCGTCCTTCTGGGGAAGGTGGTAGGGAGTTGAGGTGACAAAAATCCACTCATCCTCCTGGACATCCGTTAAAATTGGAACGATACAGAGAAGATTGATTAGGTAGCATGCCCCCTGCGCAAGGATGACATGCATAAGTCGAGAAATGGTCCAAATAGGACCAAATTCTTTAAGGGAAAAGGAAAAAGTTCAGTCGATTTCCCTGCTGGCGTGATGGCAGTAGCAGGGAGACGCCATGTAGA